TATTTCATGTATCATATAGGTTACACTCGGGGAGTATTGTTTTTTCAGTTACCTGTGTTGTTTTCACATCTTGATTTCCCTAAACATAAAAATTTAAACTTTAACAACATATTGTAGCTCTTTATTCAGGTTTATCTACTTTCTGATTTATTCACTGAATATTACCAATAAAATTTTGTCCGTGTATTTGACAATTAAAATTTCTGCCACTGGGACTACCCTATTTTGTGTCTCCCTTATGTTTTAGAATCTTCAAAGTATGGTTTGATCTACTATTTTGTGGGGGAAAATAATGCTGTCATTCCCTTGTCTCCCTACTGTATATGCACATCTAATGATATGCCTGACTTTTTAAACTCAGAATACTCTGACATTTTTGGCAAAGGATATGTCGTGGATACAGTGACCTTGCAGAAACAAAATGATAACTAAGGCTCTACCCTACTTTTTAAAATTCCGAATTTCACTTAAAATGTCTTTAATGAATTTTCTCTGAGTTTTGGCACAGTTACTTTTACTTTTTATGAAGTTTTCTTAAGTTGCTTACAATTACCAAATGATAATGCCCCAGCTGAGTATAGATTTTTCTATATCCTGAATCACTGCTGTTTGATAAAATTTTTGACAATGATAGCTATGTACTATATCTGATCCATATAGTATAGTAACCCCCTGTGGCTTTTTAGCATTTTAAATGTGGCCAAGAAAGTGTGGCTAGAAATGAAACTTTTAATTTTTAAAACATTTAATTCATTTCCATTTGAATTTTCAATAGCCACATGTAACTAATAGATAGTATACTGGGTAGTGCTGGCCCAGGTGCCAGTCTTCCTTCAGCAAATGTGTGTTCCTATTCTTCACAATCTCCACTGTTTATTTTGCAGATATTGAAGCTGCTTTTTGCCTACAATGGAAATATGGGGTTGATTGCAATGAATGGGAACACGCCACTTCACTATGCTGCCATGGGTGGTTTTGCAGATTGCTGTAAATATATCGCTCAAAGAGGTAAAATTGTCTAGCAATTTTGTGTTTAAATTATTTGGTTTATACATTTCACTTGTTAGTTGCTTATCTTTTTCAATAGTCAGCCTCAGCACCTTACTCATGTAGAAAGAAAATTGAAATTGTGTTTTTATATAAGATATTCTATTGAACCATGGTGGGTTGTCTTAAAAGTACAAAATCCATTTTCTCCAAAGTTTTATGTTACTGTTAAAAACCTAAAGGTGATTTTTCATGAGTTAACTAAATATTAAAATGTTTATAATTGATTAAACTCCTCACTTTAGAAGTGCCAACATCAATTTAAAGAAGAAACATTGAAAATAATTTCTTTTAGACTGAATTTTTAGTTTAAAAATAGTCTGATATGTCCATGTAAAGTTAACCTCTTTGAATGTTTCTGAGAAAATATTGGGAAGTACATAAAATAAAAGGAAAAGTTTTTGGAACGTGTGAAATGTAATCAGTATTTTTTATTTTCCTGTAGCTTTTAAGCAACTATAAATTTAGAAATATAAGCTGTATTATGTATAGTACAGCATCATGAGCTCCATAAAGTAAAAAAAATAGCAAGTTGAGTTTCAAGATTAGATATATTTATTGTTATTTACCTTTTCATTGAATGCACATCAAAAGTTTAATTCTTTAATAGAGATAGAATTGCATTTTGCTGAATTTTATGTTTTTTTTCCAATTTATGAGAAATAGACAAAAATGTAAATATAGTCCAACAACTTTCTAATAAGCAGAAAAAGTATTTCCACTAGGACCTAAATATTCTACAGTTTAAACATTAATACAAGTTAAACTAACATGCCCACATAACTAATAGTGTATAATTGATCCATTTTTAATTTTTATAAGCTCATATTCCCTTCTTCAAATAGTAATTCTTTTTAAAAATAAGGAAAAAAGCTAAATCAAATGTAATTTTTATCCTCTCAAACTATTTTACTGGTCTTAGCTTCAAATCAGTCACTATCAATCAGCAGTTTATTCTGACATCTCATTTTTTAACACTTGTGTATTTCTAAAGATAATTGTCTTACTGAGTTGAGGCACACTTCTTAAACTTTCACTTGTAGCCTTATTTCTTACTGGGACAAATATCACCACACATGAGCTCTGTTATTTTCATGTACCTGGGCTAAAGTTTCAGAAAGCACATCAAGAGCAAAGGGTAGTGCTTGGGTCATGGGAAAAAGTTTTGCCACTGATTCAGAAAATATCTGTCTTTCTGTAGGGATCCTAAAGCTGTATTTCTAAAGTAAATATCTGAAAACAGAGTTCTGTAGAGTGTTTGAAAATACAAACATGTCACTAGATCCTATACTGGTGACCCAGTTCCATAGCAGAAGCGACATTTCCATCTTTACAATCCTATCTAAGACAATCAGAACAGCGAGAAACCATTAGCAATGAAATGCTCATTTCTGAGTAAATGAGCATTTATTTAGTACTAAAATGTAAAGCACTCATAAATCACTGGATTCTTTTCTCACATTAAAATGTCTTCCTTGATACATTGGAGCCTTTTATCCTTGTTAAGGTTCCTAATAGAAGGACACTGGCAAAAGAGGGCAAGCTAAAGCTGGTCTGAAACTCTTTGACCTTCTTGTTGAGGTGGCTTGAGAAGTATAGGAAAAGCAACAACCAAAAAAAAAAAAAAAAAAAAAAAAAAAAA